TGGAGGGCTGATGGGGCTGTCGGGAAGGTTCTCTGAACATGCGCGGCCTCATGAGACCGGCTGGTGGTGCTGGTACTGACGCTTCTGGCACAGGGCCAGGCGGCAGAACTGGGACCAAACAGGAGGAGGCCCCTGAGAGACGGTCACTTCCCATAGCCTGACTTTCTGGGAAGTAGTGAGCCACATATCCCTAAGGGTGACCTACAGGCCAGGGGAGCGTCAACCCCATGGGAAACCTCAGGAGGAGAAAACTGAAGCAGAGGCTAGGGGCGTGGCCTTTCCCCAGGAGGTCCTCACTCCATTCAGTGTCCCCAGGCCCTGTTTTAGCCGACTGTCCTTGGGAAAGGCATCCCATCTCCCCAGGGCCTCAGTTTCCCTTGCTGAACCAGCGCGGCATGGTGGTTATGATGAATACAGTCCTGGGGCCCAGATTGCCTGGGTACCAATCCCGGCTTCCCTGATTTTGCTTTCTGATTGCATGACCCTGGGCAGGGAGATTCCCCTCTCTGAGCCTCAGTTTCCTCATCTGCTAAGTGGAGATAATAACAGCCCAAACCTCTCTGGTTCTGTGGAGATTAGAGGAGAAGTGAGTATGACACACTCACTTGCACTCAGTGTACCAGCAGGGCCTCCAAGCCTCAGCGTTGCTGTTCCTAGGGTTGTTTTATTGGCTGTGACGGGCTGGAGGACACGTGTGTGCCCGGAGGTGAGGGGCTGTCCCCCCTCCCAGCCCCCCGGTCCCTGCCTGCAGTCGCCCTCGCTGCCTTCAGCGCTGAGCGATGGCAGGCTGGGCTGGTGGCGTCCTGGCAGGCCTGTCCTGGCAGCTGCTCCCACAAGGCGAGGCCCCGTGAGCTGAGAGAATTAATTAGGCTGCATTCCTCTTCCAGGGCTCCCGGCGGGCCCGCACACGGCCCCCTTCTGCGCTGCCGAGGGCTCTTGGCTTGGATCCCTGGCAGGCCAAGGTGAGGCCCACACTCTGCCCTCCCTGAGAGGGGCTGGGAGGCCCCCGGGAGCGGGAGGCCCTGGCCGGGGAGGGGCCCACCGTAGGCTCCCATCCTGGCTCTCCCTTGCCGGGCAACCTTCGCTGGCTCCCCATCGCTCACGTTCACATTCCTGGCATTGGATGATATTCCCAGCCTGGCCCTGCTGATCGGGCCACTGCCTCTCCCCACACTCTTCCACGATCTGGCCGGATGCTCCCCACACCGTCCCCCAGCTGTGACGCCCTTTCCCTCGTCCCAGCATGTGCAAGCCCCACCCGCCCTCCAACACTCCCCAGCCCCAGCTCGAAGGCCAGCTCACAACATGTGCCACCTCCTGTCCCTTCACTTGGCCCTTGTCTGTCTTCCCGGCCAGGCTGCGAGACCCCTGAGGGTAGCACGTGTGGGTCCCAGGGCCACGAGCCTGAGTGGAGGGCATTCAGGCATGGTGGCCTGTCTCCTGGGGACATGTCCTGAGGCTGTGGGAGGGGGGTGACAGTGATATCACCTAGTGACAGTGATGTAGTTCTCCCCAGCCTAGAGCACCCCCATGCCTGATGCCCAGGGTGTGCTCTGGGCTCAGGAGGGTACTGCCCATTCCCACATGCCAATCCAGCCTTTCCCAGGCCTTCATTTACTCCTTGAAAGAAGCTGGGAATAGCTCCCTCCCTATGAAGAAGGAAACCTTCACCCCTGCTGTTCCCTCTGCCTTTTGCCTGGAACCCTCTTCTCCACCCTCCTGCTCCACATGAGTGACTACCTAGATGTCACCTCCTCCAGGAAGCCACCCTAGGCTTCCCCTCCCCAGGGGCTCCATCACAGAGTGGATGTATCCTACCAGAGAGGTAAGCCAGCATAGAAGTTAGCAGCCTGGAGTTCAAATGCCAGCTCAGCCAGATACTCGCTGTGTGACTTTGAATACGTTACTTAACCTCACTGTGCCTCAGTTACCTTTTCTGTTAAATGGGAATAACAATGAAAAAATTTGTTACATAAGGTTGCTGTAAGAAACCAAGGAGTTAATATGTGGAAAACACGTAGCGAGTGCTCAATAAATGTCAGCCATTATTTTTATCTTAATATTTAACAGTGTTTTCTTGAACGGCTCTCTTGGCCTGTGAGGGCAGGGGCTGTGTCTGTCTTGCTAGCCAGAGTCTCTCCAGAGGTGATTACTCATATCTGAATGAATGGGTGGCCACACGCCAACACTTTATCACCCCGACCGGCAAATGACTTTTCTGAACTGAAAATCCAGCTCCCTGGACTCTACCTTCAATAAAGGGGGGAATAATTCTCAGGGGCTCGTTCCGGAGTGAGGGGCAGGGAGAGGCAGCGACGGGCCCAGTCTGCAGCCTGGCTGTGCCTGGGGGGACCAGGCCGCACAGCCCAGACCAGGGCCCGCTGCTGGCTGCCCGCGGCCTCTGTCCGCAGAGCCCGAATGAATCTGGGTCGTCCTGTGCCCCCTTCTGGCCTGTCTCTGTCTAGTGCTCCGATCAAAAGGAACACAAATTTGGCTCAAAAACTGCACTATATTTATAGAAAAAGCATGAAAAGGGGAGATTTTGCCCCACAAAACCCCAAGCTTCCTGAAATTTAGACACGCTTCTTCCCAGGGGCCGGTTTGACTGGGCAGCTGCTCCTCACAAAGTTCTCTCTGCTCCCTCCCAGACCCCAGCCCACCTTCCCCCACACTGCTGGGGCCCGGCTACCTGCAGTGGGGGCCAGGGGAGGCACAGACTTCGGGCACACGTGCCCCCAGGGCCCTGCAAACTTGTCCCGTGGCGAGAGGCACGTCTGCATCAGGACCCGAGCGAGCAGAAGCCCTAAAGTGCAGGGCCCAAGCCAGGGGCCCCTGTTTCCCAGGAAGAAGGATCTAAGGGACTAAGGAATGGCGGCATCACCCTGGCCTGTCCCTGCCTCCTGGGCCTCCTCTTTAATCATCTCTGTTGCTCAATCTTGTGGGTCACTGATCTCTGAACCCTGGCCGAGGGCCACTGGGGCCTGTGCCAAGAGCGTGAACGTCCGCTTCCCTGCGCTTCCAATGCACCCTCGCCAGGACCCCTCGTGGCTCTGCCGGGCCCTCGGCAGCTGCAGTCCCGGTGCTGCCCTGCCCAGCTGCCCGGCAGGGCATTGGCTGTTGCTTTGGGTCCCCAAGGCAAGGTTCCCCTGGCATCACAGTATCCCGGTCTCCACCTGGGGCTGCACTAAGGACCCCTAAGGGCTGGTGGGACTTTGCTTCCCCACCTCCTGTCCCCTCACTCTCCCTCAGCCCCAACTAGCCCTCGGGGCTTATTCCAGTGCCCAGCTCTGCCCAGGGCCCCTGCTGCGCGCAGACCTTTCGTGGCTGCCCGTGGCCCATGAGAGGAAGTCCAGGCTCCTAACCTGGCCTTCAAGGGCTGTCTGGCTTCACCTCCTGCTCTCTTCCCCTTGCCATGCTCTGGTCACCTGGGCACCTCCGGAAGACCCTCTTGTCACTCCCACTTCCACGCCTTCTCCCTCCCTGTTCCCCCTGCCTGGGATTCACTCTATTTTCTATTTATTTGAGTCCTTTGAGTCTTTCTATTTATTTCATGTCATCTTTTGTGGCCATAGGAGTGGCACCTTTGTCCAGAGTCTTCCTCTGACCACTCCTCTCCACCCCAGCCAGCCCCCCTCCCCGCCAGGTCCTTGCGCACCGTCCTTCCCACTCATCACAGTCACAGTAACAGCTGACAGGTGGCCCCTGCCTCATCCAGCCCTGGGCTGAGCCTGACATCGTAACTGGTGCTCATACCAGCCCCGTGCGGTAGAGACGTCGCTACCCATTTTCTAGATAAAAACTGATGCATAGAAAGAAAAAGAGATTTGCTCAAGGTTGCACGCAGTGGCGATCCATGAATTCAGCCAGCAAACACTTACCACGCACACACACCACCAACTCTGGAGCCAGAGGCCTGGCTTCCGATTCTGCTGCCACTGCTTACTAGCTGTGCGAACAGAGGACAGTCACTTGCCTTCCCTGTGCATCAGTTTCCTAATCTGTAAAATGGGGGATAATAAAAGTACGTACATCACAGGGTTGCTGTGGGGATAAAATGAGTTCATTTGGGCAAAGTGCTAGTATATAGCAGGAGCTCAATACATGTCAGCATGTCATTCTTCCCCGAGGGAGCCAGGGCTGGCTTTGCAGGATCCGAACAGCGTGTACGTAACCATTTCTCAGTCCAGAGCATTTCCCTGAGCTGGCGCAGGCCACAGCGGCCACTGCAGGACAGGCAGCAGTGGGAAACGCACACACCTGCTTGCAGGGGATTTGGGAAGTGGAGGCCATGGGTCCCAGCAGCTGCCAGCAGGACTGGCCCTGGCTGCAGACTGTCCCTGGGACCCGGGTAGGCTGCTTCGTGGGCAGTGGCAGGATTGGCGAACCCAGTGCCAGAGTCCTGGAAGTCCTCAGTCAGAGCAGTGTCCACCCCACTGCAGCGGGCCCCCCCAAGGCCCAGGGCAAGGGGCAGGACCAGGGCCAGGCTATGGACCCCACAGCACCTGTCACTGATACCTGGGCACACATAGACTTAGAATCTGCCTGGCCTCATCCCTCCCTGGACAGATTTGCTCTGGGCCTTGCAGGCAGCCCCGGTGGGACAGGCAGCTGGAGCAGGAGGGGTCCCTGCACCCTCATGGTCTTGGCTTCTTCCAAACATGGTCTAAAGAGAGGCCAGATCATCGGTTACTGTCCTAGTGGGAACGCAGGTCCTGGAACCCTGGCATCACAGCTGCAGGTGGCTGTCTGGGCACATGGCAGGCAAAAAGCCCAGAGAGGGCAGGTTAGTAGCCAGAGATGCCCAGCAAGGGTGGGAGTAGAACCCAGGGCTCCAGCCACTTCCCCTGGGGCCTTTCCTCCCCTTCCTCTGTCCCCTTAGCAGCCCCTTCCTGAGGGGAGCCTCCCACCACCCTCCCTCTCAGCCAAGACGAAATACCAGAGTACCATTTCAGCATTTATTACAAACACAAGGTGACAGGTAAATAATTGAGGGTCTAAAAAAATACATTAAATAAATAATTGGGATTCTCAAAGTTCTTAGAGCAAATACGTTATATACAGATGGGTAAAGCAGAGCAGGTCCTTCTCACCAGGAGTCCCAAGGGTAAGAGGGTACCCTCCTCCCTGGGGAGGGAGGGATGGAGAGGACAGACAGGGCCAGCCGGGACACTGGCTCCTGGAGGACCCATCCAGCCTCCAGGGCTGGCTTAGGCGTGAGTGTCCCTGGCTGCGTGGTCGTTCCTGGTTTGTAGCCCAGTAGACAGGACTGTCCCCAGGACGCAGCCTCCCAATTAACGCGCTCCCACGCAGTTCCTTTCAGCAGGGCTGTGCACCAGCAGCGGCGCTGGGAGGCCGAGGGCTTTTCTGGGCACTGTGACACCACCACGGAGCTGCCTTGAGGGAGGCCAGAGCTTGTGCCAAGCCCCGCAAGTGAGTCCGGCTGGCTGGGACCGAGACCCTGGCCCAGGAAGCAGGCAGAGGGGCTCCTCTCCCCTGTGTCCCCACAGGCTTCCTTCCCAACGTTCCTCCAGCTCACAGCACTATCTCTTCCTCCACCTGGAGTGTGTGGGCCTGGGCCTCCTTGTCGCCTCCTGCTGTCGCTTGGCAAAGTGGATCTTGGCTGCAGAAATATCCCTGGGAATGGAGAAGGGTCAACTTAGCATCTCAGGAGATAGGGACTGTTGAAGAGCTCCCCATGAGAGGCAGGGCTAGTGGGAACGAGACTCCTTGCTCAGATCCCGGGGTCAGAGCAGGCCACGCCCTGAAAACAAGGTCTGCACATCAAGAGCAGGGCAGACCAGGCCTAGAAGCTTCTCTGCCTACAGGGGCTTTGACAAAGCTGATGTTCAACATCAAATGCTGCTGGAATGACCAGACAGCCAAGAACAGCCCCACGTTATCTGTGACAATCTGCCCTTCCACTTCCACACCTTTGCTCCTGACATTCCTCCAGGCTGTATACCTTCCCCTCCCTCACCCAAACTCCACCTACTGCAGTTCTACCCATTCCTCAGGGCCCAGCTCAAGGCAGCCCAGCCCAGACAAATATGGGTTCTCACTGCCCTTTGAACCTCGCTGAGACCCTGGACAGGATCCTGGTGTCATCTAGGTAGCCACTTTCTGGCACCAAGAGTTCTAGCCTGGGAACTAGGAGGCTGGCTTTGGTTCCCAGCTGTGGGAACTTGGGCAGGAGTCTCAGCCTCTCTGAGCCCCTTTCCTGGCCTGCACAATAAAAACAGGCCCAGACTGCTGTGAGGATGAACACAAAGTTGGCACAGCAAGTTTTGCATACTATGGAATGTTGTGCATTTGCAAAGTGTATCCTGATTTTTTTTTTTTTTGAGACAGAGTCTCGCTCTGTCACCAAGGCTAGAGTGCCATGTCATCATCATAGCTCACAGCAACCTCAAATTCCTGGACTCTAGCGATCCTCTTGCCTCAGCCTCCCAAGTAGCTGGGACTACAGGCATGCGCCACCATGCCTGGCTAATTTTTTTCTATTTTTAGTAGAGACGGGATCTCGCTCTTGCTCAGGCTGGTCTCGAACTCCTGACCTCGAGCCATCCGCCCGCCTCGGCCTCCCAGAGTGCTAGGATTACAGGTACTTTTTTGATTTTTCTCCTATTTTTCTGTTTCTCCCCAAAGACGGGGAACCCTGAATAGCTGAGCCTCTGCCCTGGCCAGCCTAGAGGAGCCCTTGGTGACAGAAGTGGGGACAGCTGACTCTGCTGGAGCTCCCAGGGGTGCCAGGCCCTGCACAACCCACTTCACGTGGATCGGCTAACCTAACCTCGCAACAACCCTGCAAGTTGATGGCACTATTTCGCTGTTCCAAAAACAGGGACCTGAAGCAGAGTGGTTCAGTGACAAGCCTGAGGTCACACAGCTTGTTGGGGGCAGGATTGGGGTTCAGATTACGTGGTCCCTGCTCTAGAGTCCCCTTCAGCCACTCTGCTGCCTGCCCAGATGCAAGTTTCCGTTCTCAAATCAGTTTGTTTGTACAAACATCCATGGGCGCCTGCTGGGTGCCCAGCCTCGGGCTGAGCCACGCTGAGGCTACCAGGGAGGAGACTCAGTCTAGGCAGCGGGAGGTAGTAGGCCAGGCAGTCGGCCCTCTGCACCCCGGCATGTGGGACACGCTTGATTCAGACACAACCTCAACGTGGTCCTTCCCAGCTGTGAGCCCTCAAACCCTCTAAAAAGTCCACTTCCAGGCCGGGTGGAAGCAAAGAGTATAGTGGGTAAGAGCACAGACTCTGGAGTCGGCCAGATGCCACCAAGTACCACGTGACTTTGGGCACGTGGCTTCACCTCTCTGAGACCCAGTTCTCTCAGCTGACCAATGAGGACCCGGTCCTGCCTCTCATGGAGAATAAGGAGAATGTGCCAGGCATACAGGAGGTGCTCAAGCTGTGCAGGGGCCCCTCACCTTAGCTTCTGGAGGAGCTCTCCTGCAGTGGCCCATGTCTTCCCAGTCTGGAGTGCGTCTGCAGGGAACTTGCCGCTTGGGACTGCCCCGGCTTCAGCCCTGAATGAACAGCATTGGGGCCCAAGTGAGGGGCTGTCCAGGGCCCTGAAGCCACCTGGCTGCAGGCCCAGCCCAACCCCCACCTGCCTGGGAGCAGATCCATTTCCATCCCTGTGCACCTGGCACCCTTCCTTTCCCAGGTGGGGTGGGGACTGAGGAAAACTGAGCTACCTGGAATGTGTTCTTAGCTCAGAAATAGTCAGCTGGGTGGCCGGCCTTCCCAGAATTTAGCCACCTGCAGCTGCAGGGGAAACTGAGGCAGGGGCGGAGACACAGCTTGAACCCCATGGGAGGAGTTTCTTGTAAACTTTCATGGGAAACGGAGCTTGGGATTTTGAAGCCAGTTCCTGCTTTCCTGAATACTCCGTGTGGAGGAGGGAAGGAACAGAATCTCCCACCCATTTTACAGATGAGAAAACTGAGGCCCAGGGAAGTTAGGATACTTGGCAAAGCTCCCCCAGCAACTTGCAACTCTGTGACAACCCTGGGACAGTGCCATGGCTTCCCAATCCCCGATGTTATTTCTCCTCCTAGCAAGTTCCAAAGTCCCCTGAGCCTTAGGTTAGAATCCAAAGCCCAGCGGGACTTGGTCTGACAGACCAAAGCTGAAGGCCCAGCCCTCCTTCTGACCAGCTGTGTGGCCAGATAGAACAAGTCCTGTCCCCTCTCTGGACCTGTACCACTTCAGCTGTCACCTGGGAGGACTCCCTCCTCCCCAGCACTGAGAGCAAGAGTACTCTCAGGAGCCCCCAGGGCTGGGCAGTGGGAGTGACTGGGGGGTGACTGGTTCCCTGAAAGGACCCCCGGTGGCCTATCGACCCCCAGGACCCTGCTTGCCCGGCCCCTGCTCCTCTGTTGCTTTCCCAGACACTCGCTTCCAGGGCAGGTCCCGGAGAGCAACTAGCCCTGGCCCCTGCAGGCTGGGTGCCCACCTACCAGGGCCTTCGATGGCAGAAGGTGGCACAGGCGGGGTCCCTGATGCTGGAGCACTCACAGCGCCTTGTCAGGGAGCGGCGCCGGCGTCTTGGCGGGTTTCCCAGGCCGTAAGGAGCTGTCTGTCTGTGGGCACGCAGCCAGCAAGGTAGTGATGGGGGGTGGAGAGAGAGACAGAGAGAGGGAGAAAGAGAGAGATTAGATAAGCCACAACCATTGGCAAGCAGGGACCGTCCACACTACACACTGGGACAGCCACCAGGGTGGCAATGAAAAGTGATCAGCCCCTGACTTTAAGAAGTCCCACCGCTACAGTCACAGGCTCCTCTGCAAGTTCTGGGTAGCCCTGGACAAGACCTTTCCCCTCTCTGGGCCGGCTTGGCTCTGTGGGAGCTCCCGGCAGGCATGAGGACAGGATGGAGGGGTGGAACTTGTGGTCCCTTCCCCCAAATTTAGGAACCCGGGAGTCCTCCCAGACAGGAACTCAAGCTGATGGAGCCAGGCTGTCCCCCTGTTCTCAAAGAAGTCTTTCAGCTAGCCCCGGAGGAAGGGAGGACGCTTCATCTCAGAGAATTAAACACACAGGCTCACAGCTAAGCCACCCCCACCTGGTCACCACTTGCCTAGAGGGGTAACAAATGTGCCTTAGAGACTTACAAATGGTGTGTGTGTGCATGTGCGTGTGTGTGTGTGTGTGTGTGTGTGTGTGTGTGTGTGTATGTGTCTTTGGGTGGGGTCGATTTCAGATTCAGAGTCTGATCGAGGCGGGCCAGGGGAAGGGCAGGGGCCCCATGGCTGGTTGGACCAGCACCTTCGGGTGACAGAGCTAATTTTAGCCCGTGTGGTTGGAGTTGTAATGACTCCAGGTAGACCCAGCACGCAGGGACTGGCAGCGTTCCCGCCCAGAGCGAGTGTTTGGATGCGGATTAGCTCCACACACGCTTACGTGCCGGGCTTCTCTTGCCTTTTGCAATTTGGGGAAGGGAAAAAAAAATACAAACACAGAAACTTCAGCGTGAGGTATGCAGTAGCCTGGAGGCAGCGGGGGTGCAGGCTGAACAGACAGCACCACCAGGGCTCAGCCGGGTAACACAGGGCAGGTTTCTCACCTGTCATTTGGGGACAACAGCAGTGCCTGCCTCGTGGGGAGGCTGAGGGGCTCATGACAGGATAATGCACACGCCATGCTTGGCACAGGGCCTGGCACAGTGAAGACATGCTGTCATTAATCGTATTATTCTTAGAAGATCATGCAGAGACAGCATGGAAGAGTGGGTGTGAGCTCTGGCATCCACAGAGCGAAGATGGAGCCACTACTTACTCCTTCCTGTGTGACCTTAGGGAAGGTACTTAACCCCTCTGAGCCTCAGTACTCTGATCTGGAAAATGGAGCCAACACTTTCTTAAGAGGCTGTTGTGAGAAGTCTCAGGAGACAGCCCTCCACATGGCTCAGAGAGTCCCCCCATCGGAGCTGAACCAATAACTGGAAACTATTGATACAGTTGAGAGTGGGGCTGTGCCAGAAGTCCCCCAGCATGCCAGCAGCCCCACCCTGGCAGCCCCCGCCTGGATGCCCACGGATGCTCACCCGGGAGTGTTCACCCAGATGATGTCCAGGTGGCAGAAATAGACGCACTCCTTGTCGAGCCAGGAGCTGCAGGAGCAACGGCGAAGCCGCAGGTGGGCGCCTCGGGCATGGGGTGAGGGCTCTGGCTGCTCCAGGGTGGCAGCAGCCTGGCCCTTCCCTGCACACACAGGAGGGAGAGAGAGGCGGAGAGGTGGGTTGGGGCGCCTGGCACAGTCCGGATGGTGGACGCGCTGGCCCCTCCTCCTGCACAATTGAGGAAGTTGGCTCTCTCTTGCTGCTCAGGAGCTCCGGGCCAGCCTGGGGAAGCCCCAGCAGCCCTGCGGCAAGGGCCCGTGGCTGCCCTGCGCCTGGGCACCTCTGCTCTTACAGAGCCCCCACTGCCCGCCATGGCTGCCGCTGGTCTCCCCAGCTAGCTTGGGGGCACTGCAGCCCCAGGTGGAGACACCCAACGGCCAGACCCGGGGCTGCAGCAGCAGGTGAGGCCAGGGTGGCTCACCTTCGTGCAGGGTCACAAGCAGGGCTAGAGCGACGGAGCACCAGGCAGTGGGCACGGAGACCATAGCGGTGGCGGAGTGTGCAGGCTGGGCTGGAGCAGGGAGTGCCTGTTGCCAGTGTCCCGCTGCTAAGCTGAGCGGAGAGCTCATTGCCTCTGTGCCCTGGCTGCCTCTTATAACACCCAGGCCCCGCCCCTGCTGGCCCAGCCCTGCCCCAGTGCACCGGTGGGCTGGGAGCCAGGGACACCGCCTCCTCCCCGGGCGCCTGGCTCGCCCCAGCTCCCCGGTGAGGGGGGTGGGGTGGGGGAGAGCCTGCTCCTCCCCTGAGCCTGGAGCACCTCTAGGAGTCCTGGGGCTCCCTTGTCGTTCCCAGGGGCCCCTGCCATCCTGCTGCACTTACTCAAGTTGCTCCCGAAGTGCCCTAGCCTCCTGCCCACTCTGTGCCTATCCCACAGGCCTTGCCCAGAGCTGAGCGTTTGGAGGATGGGGGGGTCCCATGAGCAATACTCTCCGCCTCCTTGGAGGAGACCCTGCCACCCATTCTGCCTGCCCACTGCCAACCAGATTAAGGACACCCCTTCGTTGTGTGGGAGGAGGAAGGCCCACTCAAGGCTGTGTGGCCTTGGGCGAGTCACAGCCCTCTCTGGGCCTGCTTCCTTTGGTGAAGGACACAGCTCACGCCTGACCTCTGACCAGCCAGGGCTGCCTCATCCCCACCTCCCCCAGGAATTGCCCCTCCCCGACCACCCTAGGGCCTGGGCAGGAGTTCTGGTCCCTTCCACAAGTCTTCAGCTATGCAGCCATAGCAAGGAGAGCCTTCTTGGGCCTCAGTTTCCTTGTTTGCAACATAAGGCCAAATCGGGGGAGTGCTTAACATGTTGGGCCTACAGGCCCCTGGAGACTGAGCAGGTGCTTCACAGCCCTTTCCAGAAAGATGCCCCTGTGGGCACGCACACAAAGTGGCCCTTTCGTGGCCTCCTGTCCCGCACACGACAGGATGTCTCAGCTCACCGCAGTGGCTACTGTCCGCAAAAGAGGCAAGGCAGCGGGGGCTCCCAGGGGTGGCGCTCCTCCTGGCCCCTCTGCTGGCCCTGGAGCCTTACTGGAGAGGACAACGGCACTCTTTCCTCCCGCCCAGGCCTGACTCAGAGTCCACTTCTGGCCAAAGTCTTCTCGAGGACCCGGTCTCCAGGCGCGACAGGAAAGGCCCTCCCGTTTCTCGGAATTCCCACGGACTCATGGCATTGGGCTTATCTCCTCCGCAGCCTCGAGGGCGCGGACTCCGGAGAAGGCAGGCGCTGCAGCCTGCCCCGCGCGCAGTGGGGGCCGTGAGTGCTCTCCAGAGGTGGCAATGAAGCTGTAGATCCCTGACCTTGAACTGTGGAACCCAGGCTACCCAATTTTGTCTTCCTCTATTCAGCAACTCCTTTCTCATCCGACAGTCAGTCATGAAGGGGAAAATCGATGACCCCCGTGAACAGGCAATTTTGCTTCTTTCTGGGGCGTGTCCAGAGCAAGCATGCACGAGCGAGACCCTGGGACACTCGGGCAGAAGCCATGGAGGGCAGTACTGGTCAGCACCGCCCTCCTCCCCTGAGGCTGGGCCGGCTGCAGCAAAAGCAAGAACACACATTTCCTGAGCACCTACTGTGTGCTCCTCCTCAGCACAACCCCAGGAGGCAGCAGTCATGATCCGGGAGTCAGCTCCGTGACTGCCCAAGAGGAGGCGCAGGGAGGAGCAGGCCCAGCCAGGGCCATGCTGCAGGCAGGTGGCAGAGCCCAGAGCTTCTCTCCAGCAAACCACAAGTGACTCCCCTTGCGGTGCTCACTGCCCTCCCACATTGCGCCTCTCTAAGAATTTGCAAGAGTATTTCTGGAATGAGGTGCGCAACGCTCCCAGTCATCGCCTCCGAGAGAATATAAACACGGAATTAGGCAGCGTTGGGGGGGGGGACAGAGAACTCGAACCACTGGACCATGAAGAGAAGAAAGAAGGAAGAACAGGTCAGCGGGGAGAAGGAGGGGTCAGGCCGGGCAGGAAGGCAAACAGGGAGGCAGATAAAGACAGGCAGAGCAGAGGGAGAACAAGGAAGCAGCGTGTGGTGAGAAAGAAAGCGCTGGGATTTGAGAGTGTCAAAGAGAAAGACCACAGGGAGAAGAGGGAAGGTCCTAAGGCGTCTAATCTTTACACAAATGCAAAGTGCCTTCTCAGGACAATAGGGAACCAGAGGGTCGAGTCTGGGAAACATAATAGAAGAATTAAATGGCCCCAGAGACAGGATCCCTCCCTGGTGTGAGAGAAGGATGACGGCAGGGCAGGGGCTGCCACCCAGGCCCCGCAGGTCAATGCAGGGAGCTGCGAGCCGGGCAGGCTCTGGCTCCGGTTTCCCCACTTCCCTGCCCTTGGCTTGAGCTGGGCTACCAGGGCTCCGGTGACAAGGAGAGGCCAGCCCGGGAACCTGAGCAGGCCCAGGTCTTAGGGGATGAAACCATTCCGGGAACAGCGCTACCCCACTGACGAGTTGGTTTCCAGGTAGAGAAAATTAAGCTGAGTTAAAGAACAGCCAGCCCCAGACCTCTGGGTCTCTTAGCCTGGGCCCTGAAAGTCCCCTGCACCCCTCCTGGAGGGTCTGGCTGCGCGTCCCTGCCCCCATAACCGTTCCTGTGCCCTCTAGGTGGCTGGGCTGCACGGCCCCCGGGCCCCACTGCTCTGGCCCTGCCGCCTGCCTGGGAGAGGGGCAGGATCCACAGAGGGCCACCCTGTCGGAATTGGAGGGAATCGTTTTGCACACAAAATGATTTGTTCCCCTTATGCTCGGAACCAGCCGAGTCTGAGAAGGAGAGATGTATGCAGGGGAGGCTGGCAGAAGACAGCAGGTGAGTATATTTCTGGGGGAGACGCTAGGCTAGACACTGCCCTACAGAAATCCCCGTCTCCACTCCCGTTTGATGGATGAGATAACTGAGGTCCAAGAGAAAGAGCAGCTCGCTCAAGTCAGTGATGGGGCCAGGCATGTTTTCTTGGCTCCTAATTCAGCCCTGCCCTTTCCTGTACACCTGCAAAACTCACCGGGGCATCCCAGCTGAGCCCAGGATCCTGGGTCTCCTTGGGAAAGGCTGCGAGGGAGGACCCCACTGCAGGAAGGCCAGGCCACTGGGATGCGGCCAGTCTGTCTCCCTGTGCACCCCAAATCTCCTCCTATAGCCCCAGCACCAAGAGTAAATATGGTCCCGTGGAGCAGCTGTCCTGCATCTGTGGACACTGTGCTGGAGGGATGATGCATGGGAGTGAGGATTGAGTGTCCTGGTGACATTGTCCCCCAGGGCAGGGATGGGCCGGAGCAGGTGCCTGAGGTTGCAGTCGAGGCCTTGGACCACCAGGCTTTGTCCTAGCTCTGCTGTTCCTACTGTGTGGCCTTGGGCTAGTCCTAGCCCTCCTCTGGCCTCCAGTGTCCTGCCTTCCCACTGACTTCGGGGAGAGGTGCTCTGGGCGCTGACTGCCCGTGGCAATCAGTGGAGATGACCTGAGTTTAGAACTCCCCCAACAGAGACACAGCAGACTCTAATTCCTAGCTTGGGGCTGTCCACCTGTTCACCTCCAGAAAACTTGTCATTTCCCCTTCGCCACCTGGCCCCACCAGGTTTCAGGAAGTTCTGTCTGCAGTCCTGATGGAAGGGACACAATGTCTTGGTTGCAGGCACATAGCGTGCGGGTGGCCTAGCAGACTGAGTAGCTGGGAAGAGGGGCTAGCCCGGGGGAGATGTCGGGAGCCTGCAGGGGCTGGGTGCTGGGGAGGGTTTGGCCCTGGAGCCAGCCTGGGCTGGGGCTTGGGGACTCGGGAGGTTCAGACATTCCATCGCCATTTGTCCCAAAGGCTGTGGGTCGGGCTGTCCCCACTAGGGCCCGGGGCTACTCAGCCTCAGGACCTCTTTCTGGTGGGAGGTCTGGGCCTCCTGCCATCAGCCACAGCTCACACTGAGCCAGCAGGGCCTGCCACCGCCCACACCATTGTCCCCACACTGGGTCTCCATGAGGGCAGCCTCAGCCTGCGGGACCAGCTCCCCTGGTTTCCACGGCTTCCCTCGGAGGACACCCCGTGTTGGTTCTCCTCCTCCCTCCACCTCAGCCCCTTTGGAAAGATTTATATCTCCCACATAAACTGCACTTTTAAAAGAATAATTCATGCGCTCTGTTTGTTATTAATCTAAGGGTAATCAGAACAGGGTCAGCGAGGCCCACGGAACTGCTGGAATTTCAGCCCAAAGCAGACATTGTTCGGTCCAGGCACCCTTGTCAGGAGGCCATGTGAATCCTGCTGGACTTTTCGAAATAAGAAAACCAACTCAGGGACTCAGCATCTAGGATGGAAATCTCTGGACTCCAGATTTTTGAGTTACCTCCAAAATGCTAAGGGCCTGATTCGGCACTTAGCCTTCTGGGGGTGTAGGGTAAGCAGTGTTTATTGAGCACCTAATATATCCCAAGCCTTGTGCTAAGCGTTTTACATACATTAGTTTCATTAACTGTCACACTGTACCTGTAGGATAGGTACTGTAATTGGTCCCCACTTTATAAATGAGGAAACTGAGGCTCACAAGGGCTGACTTGCCCAGTGTCAGACAGCTAGGAAGTGGCAGAGCCACGGTTAGAAAGCAGGCCTGTGGGACTCCAAAGCACCAGCCCTGAGCTCTGTGGGTCCCCAATGTGCTTTCCTAACTCCCCTGTCCTTGGGGAGCCCTCCCACAGCAACTCTTCTCCTGGGGCACTCCCTGCTCTCACCAGGCAGAGAGTCCTAGGCAGCCTTGGAAGGTAGGGAGCCCGGGAGCAGAGGCTGGCCTCCCACCTGTGTCTGAGGAGAGCCTCAGGCCCACAGCAAAAGCACAGCACGTAGCCCATGCCTAAGAGGCCAGGGGCTGAGGCCTGGCCACAGCCCTCAGGTAAGCACGGACAGTCCATCCTTGTTTCACTGGATCCCCAAAACAGACCCAGGAGGCAGTCTGGCTTCATGATTCTCACTACGGGTGAAGTGACTTACTCAGGGTCGCACAATGAACACAAGGCAGGGCTAGAAAGTTCCCTTATACTCATCTGCTATGGGACCACAGCTTATGTCTATCGCATGATCCTCCCATCTATCCACC